CTTTTAAGATACATTCCTAGACAGCTCGGGAGGTTCATTTTTTTCTCCTCTGGTAATTTACTAGATAGTTAAATCAACTGACTTGTGTAAGGTGTCAGAGAAATAAGATAGACACATGATGTTATTAAGCCTGGCAGTAAAGCTCCTCCCAGGGGCCTTGAATGTACAGCTGGTCCTTCAGTTTGAATACCCTGTAGCATTATTAGTGGGTCCAAAATTATTGTGAAATAAATTCTCATAAACACCTATTGAGAAATTAGGTGTTCCTTAACCAGCCGAATAGTTCATAATAGGATGAAGAATTGGAATTGGACGCAGTATGTGCTTTGAAACGTCTCTACATACCCAAGGGCACTTCAAAAACTTTGTGAAAAAATGGAGTCAAAGTACAAGTTTATGTTGATGCAAAAATTTTTTGACACTCAAACTTTTTCTCATAGTATCCCTTTTCCACAAACTGCTTCATGATCTCTCCTGTGTATGTTTTCTCCACAAATAAACTATTTAAATCTGCCCTAAGACGTACTAAGTGTAATGTGGGTCCAGGACATCCCCAGATGTGAAGAATAGCCGTTAAGCTCTCATATGTCCAGCTGACACATTTATGCACAAAATATACAAAAGGCATGTTTTTTATTATTATGCTAATCTTTTCTTGTTAATGACCTTCAATCATCATTGCTTCATCCATGCTCACAGAGAGCTCCAGAGAACATACATATCATTCTTTTTATATTAAGAGTAATTCCACTTGTCCTTCAAATCTTTGTAATGAAGGAAACTCAGGCCCTGGAAGCCCAAGTTCTACTCCCAAACATTTACCTAGAAATTTCTCAACAAAGACCACATCTTTTCTTAAAATTTTTGCTATCTGAAATAATATTTTTTATTTCATTATATTAATGTTAGTGAAGTGAAACTTGCAGGTTGAGGTGGTTCATAGAAATTCCATACATATTCCACAAGAAAGATTAGAGCACTTTAAAGCTTTAAAGATTTTAGCTATCACTAACTGAGAGATCATAAGAAACTTGTAAAGAATATTAATATTGAGATGTTTAACTTCCATTTACTATGGATTTTCAACAGTCTGTGTGACCACCACTTCTTTAATTAGTAAAGGTAAAAATGTGAACTTTAATCTAATATAAAATTATCATTAAACTCCTTGATAAATGCCAGTGCCCATAGGAGAGAACTTTAAATCTCTTCTTCATGTCTCTAGAAGGAAGAAAATTAAGGCAAAAACTTGGAAATAGCATGAACCTAAGTCATATTATCAATTCAGTTTGCTATTTTTTTTAAAGATACTTCTTTATGTAGTTTTCTGATAAATTCCAAATGGAATTATTGGAGTATATAGTCATAAAATAAAAATTTGTTCATTAGCTTGGTCACGAGAAAGTTACAGTAAATAATGTCAAACCAATATATACTTATTTAAATTTTCTTTTACAACAAAACACAGTTCATCTATGCCTACTTCTGTTATTTTTGCATATTTCAAAGTAAGCTAAATAAAATTATAGATACTTTCTATACACATATCAATATTTTAAATAAAATAATTAAATTTATGGTCAACTAATTGAAAAGTTTTTACTCAATATAAGTCTTGACTGAACTGGCAGGTTGGTGATTTGATGTTTAATGATACAGAAAATTTCCTATTATAATAAATGTTATATATGTTCTTAAAAATAGCTTTTTCAGGACCAGCAGGTGGTGTGATGGTTAAGGTGCTGCACACTCCCACATGGCTGATCGCAGTTAGAGTCCTGGACCTGGTGGCTTGCTTTCTCACTTTCTATCTCTCTCTGTCTCTCTGTGGTCAAATTTTTAAAAAATGAATGAATAAATAAAATTAAATAAAAAATTCTAAAAATAAAAAGTTTTCTCAATAACCCTAGTTTGGGACCAGCAGTGAGCATAATGGCTATGTCACTGGACTCCCACATAGTCAACTGTGGTTTGCGTCCTGAACCCGGTGGCTTAAAACACGCTGGGTGTGTGTGCGTGCATACCCAAGATCCCGAGAGGAGAATGGAGGAGAAGGGATTGCGGCGTGATCATCCCCCCTGGGGGGTGATTTCTCGCTTTCTGTCTCTCTGTCTCTCTCTGTCTGTCTGGCAAGCACACATGCCCTATAGCAAAAATCTCTAAAAAAAATAAATAACCCTCATTAAACACTCTAATGCAAAACTACTTGAAATTGTACTTGTTTTCCTTTTTTTTCTTTTTCTTTTTTTTTTTTTTTTTGAGAAGTTTTTGCTATAAGGCATGTGCGCTCACAAGAAAGACAGAGAGACAGAAAGGGAGAAATCACCCCCCAGGGGGGGTGAGCCATGCCGCAATCCCTTCTCCTCCATTCTCCTCTTGGGATCTTGGGCACACAAGCACACACACGCCTGGCGTGAGGTTAAGCCACCAGGTCTGAGACACCAACAGCTGTGGACTATATGGGAGTCCAATGATATAGTCCATAATGCCAACTGCCAGTCTTGAAATTGTATTTGTTTTCAATTAAATTAAAATTAGTTGAGTTTTAAATAGAGACATTGACATTAGTATTAATAACATTTTAGTGCAATAGAGCAAAGGGACTAAATGACATTCAACTTACTCTGGTCTTCAGGCTGGACAGTAGCACAGAGGTGAAACACAACTACTCTGTGAGGTGGACCCACATGGGAAGTTACGGGTTTTTGTCTGGAGATGTCCACGGTGATGCTGGCATTTATGTTTCCATGATCCAGGGCTGGCTAGAGCCAGGGGTAGGTCATGGCTTCAAGACTCTATATGGGACCAGCAGCTGGAGTAATGGCTATATTGCTGGACTCCTATGTACTTGACCACGGTTTGAGTCCTGGACCCAGTGGCTTAAAATCATGGCGGTCGCATGTGCGTGAGTGCCCAAGATCCCTAGAGGAGAATGGAGTAGAAGGGATTTTGGCGTGGCCCTGCCCCCTGGGAAGTGATTTCTCACTTTCTGTCTCTCTCTGTCTTTCTGGCAAGTACATGTGAGCTATAGAATAAACCTCTCCCCCCCAAAAAAAGACTCTATTAAAGGTGTTGTCTTTCACTTTTCTTGTGTTTCTCACTCTTTGAAGAAACACATAAAAAAAGTTTTTAAAAACATTTTGTGGGCCAGCAGGTGGCACAGGGATTAAGGCAACTGTTCCTCACATTGCTGATTGTGCATGCAGTTTAAGTCTCAGGTCTGACAGGTTGACAAAAACATTGGGAACAGGACCTGCAGATGGTATAATGGCTACATTGTTGGATGCCCATGTAGTTGACTGAGGTTCGAGTCCCACACCAGTGGCTTAAAACTCATGCCAGACGTGAGTGCATGCATACCAAAAAATCCCAAGAGGAGAACGGAGGAGAAGGTATTGCAGCATGGTTATCCCTCCCTGGTGTGTGTGTGGGGGGTGATTTCTAGTTTTCTGTCTCTCTGTCTCTCCAGTGAGTGCATGTACCTTATACCAAAACTTTCTCTTAAAAAAGACAAAACACAACAAAATAAAACACTGGGTATGTGTATGCATATCTAGAATCCTAAGAGCAGAGAAAAAACACTGGGTATGTGTGTGCATGTCCAGAATCCTAAGAGGAGAGAGGAGGAAAAGTGTCTGCGATGTGGACATCCCTCTGAGGGTGATTTCTCACTTTCTCACCCTTTCTCTGTCTCTCTGGATAAGCGCATTTGCTCTATAGCCAAAATAAATAAATATATAAATAAAATAAACAAACCACAATATTCTGAGCTTTTCACAAGGATTGTTTTTAGAAAACACAAGTTCCTTTTTAATAAATGGTAAGTTCTTTATTATAATTGTGCATTTTAATAATTTTAGATATGTTTTCTTAATTTGCTTCCACAAAATAATTAAGTCATATCAAAATTAATCTTCTTGACCATATAGTTTTCTGAGAAATGAAATTAATCATGATTCACATCCACAATAGCTCAATTCACAATTCTATTGCATGCCTCAAATCTCTTGATACTTACGTAAATCGAACACCAAGATATGTGGACATAAATTTGAAATGTCTAAGTTACAAAGTTTTCTATATGGGAATTATTCATGGCTTAATGGGCTGTGTAAAGGCTACTTTTTTTTTTTTGAGAGGTTTTTGCTATAAAGGCATTTGAGCTTTCCAGGAAGACAGAGAGAGACAGAGAGACAGAAAGCCAGACACCACCCCCCGCCCCGGGCGGATGGCCATGCCACAATCCCTTCTCCTCCATTCTCCTCTCAGGATCTTAGGCAGCCACACATATGCACCAGGAGTGAGTTTAAGCTACCGGGTCTGGGACTTAAACCGTGGTCAACTACATGACAGTCCGTTGACATAGCCAACTCATCAACTGCTTTTCCCAGTTTTTTAATATTATCAGAAAACAAGAAGTAGATACATTCTATTTTGGTCAAAACAAGAAAGTTTGAATTTGTAGGTGACAATAGACTGCAGAGAAAAAGTCAAATTCTGTAAGAGTGAATGCATAAAAATAATTCTATGGCTACAGATTAAAAACTGCTAGAGTCTCTTTTAGTCAAAGATGTATGGAAAACCCTGAGATATAAAACTGGGTGTCCTTACTTGCTCGAGAGAGAACAGAGAACATATGCCCCTTGCAGAAGTGATCCTGGACCCTGTACAAGAAGAAGAAGAGGAAATGGTAGGTGAGGACTCACATGATTGGCTATAGTTGTAGAAATCAACCTCTGTCTGTAGTAGCTATGAAAAAGAGACACATAAAACTAGGAGAGAAAGTTATAAGTCAAATCCCAGCTATTTTGGATAATCCAGCTAGATTGAGATCAATCACATGCAAATAGCTATTATAGAATATCTCAGGAGCTTCAAAGAAGAAAAATCAAAAAGAAAGCAGCACAAGACTTATTTTTAAAAAAGATAAGAGAAGTGGCAGGTGACACACAAAAGGGTATTCACTAGGAAAAAACGTTACATTAAAAGAAAGAAATAGGGGGCTCACTTTGTCAGCACTTATACTAAAATTGGAATGTCACAGAGAAGATTAGCATGGTCCCTGGGCAAAGATGACACGCAAACTCCTGATGTGTTCCATATTTTTTAAATTATTCTCAGATAAACAGAAACTGAAAGTATTCATCAACACTAGACCAGCTTTTTAAAAAGTAATGAAAGAAATATTGTATCAGACAAACTAAACACAGATAAACATAAATGAAAGGATAAAAAGAAAACAAGAAAATGGCTGACAAAATGGTAGGGATAAGTCCACAAATATTAATAATAATGTTGAAAGTTAAGGGATTAAATTCTCCAATTAAAATACACAGACCGGCTAAATGGATTAAAAAAAAAAAAAAAAAAAAAGGAGTCTCCTATTTGCTGCTTACAAAAAAATGCATCTCATTGATATGAAGTGAAAGCGAAGTGCTGGAAAAAAAAGGTATTGCATGCAAATGGAAACCAAAACAGGGCAGGAGGCATGATGTTGATATCAGACTAAATAGACTTCATGATAAGATAAAGCTATAAAAAGAGACAAAGAAGGGCACTATGTTGTACTAAAAGGATTAGTTAACTAAGAAGATACAACATTTATAAATATCTACCCACTCAACACTGGAGTACCCAACTATATGAAAGAGACTTCTAGATCTAAAGAAAGAGATAGACTGCAACAGAATAATCATCAGGGATCTCAACACTCTACCAGATCTTCTGGACAGACCATCTGGACACAAAATAAACAAAGAGAAACAAGATCTAAAAGATAATATAAATCAAATGGACGTTATAGACATCTATAGAACATTTCACCCATCAACCACAAAATCCACATTTTTCTCACCCCCACATGGAACATCTTCGAAGATCATCCACATGATAGGAACAAAAAAAGCTTTTACAAATTCGAATGTATAAAAACTATATTTTTAAAAGCGTATTTTCTGACCACGATGGAATTAAACTTTAAATCAACCACAGAAGAACTCTGAAAAATACTCAAGCATTTTGAAACTAAACAACCTATTCTGGAGGGACCAGCAGTTAGCGTAATGGCTATGTCACTGGACTCCCATGTAATCAATCACGGTTCGCGTCCTGGACCTGGTGGCTTAAAACTCACGCTGGGCACGTGTGCGTGCATACCCAAGATCCCTAGAGGAGAATGGAGGAGAAAGGATTGCGGTGTGACCATCCCCCCTGGGGGGTGATTTCTCACTTTCTGTCTCTCTGCCTCTCTCAGTCTGTCTGGCGAGCGCACGCGCCCTATCGCAAAAACCTCTCAAAAAACAACAACAACAACAACAACAAAAACCTATTCTGGAATGACTTCACAACCACTGAAGAAGTACAGTTCTCAACTTGTATTTTCCAGAACCAGCCCCCGTTGTGCTATTTGAATTCATAAACTTACCATTTGTCTATGGATTAAGATACAGTCATAATTTAAATTATAAACACGTGAAATATAGAGAAGGTCATCAATATAATCAGAGGCCCCAACCACCCTAATTTTAATGTGTGAATATGAATAATAATAATAAATTACAAATTGATTGTTATACTTAAGTTCTACATGTAGAACACACATAAGTACACAAACTATGGTAAGTGCTCCAAATGAATCGCAGTCCTTGCTGAAACAATACCACGGTATTTGTAATATCAAAGGTAAAATTTCCTTTTTCTTTATGAAAGGGTGGTGGAGGTTCATCTAGATTTTCAGTGTCAAGGAGACAATGTGTACCACACATTGTTTAGAAGGATGGAAATACGTCACATCAGCGTTAGAAAATGAGATCTTATGACACCTGTTTCAATGGTAGAAATTTGAATAGTAGAAGTTTGATCTAAAACTTAACACTCTGAATATAAATGAGAAGAATACACACACAAAAGTTAGTCTGACATATTTCAGATGTTCAACGAGAAAATGCATGGATAGAAGACAAATGTTGGATGATAGAAAGTAATATTCTCACTAAACAGAATGACAAAAAACAAATATCAAGCAAGTGACAATTTTTATTCTATTTCCATGCTCTCACAAATGCTACAATCTAATTTTTATCCTTAATTACTAAGTCTTTCAGATATTACACATCTTGAAAAATATTAGCAAAAGCAGGAGCCCTTAGAGACTGCTATGGAGCTAAAAGTTGTGTGTTTTTTTCTCAGTATGTGGTTATAGTGCGAAATGTAACTGTGAAAATGACATTGTGGGCTGCTATATTTATTCTCTCAATGACTTGAACGGCACATCAAGTTTACTTAGTTTATAATTATTTTTATCACTTGATGCTGCAGGCACAACCTGAGAGGAAAATTTAGCAGTTGCTTTCTGAATTTTACATCATTGCCCATAACAGGAACTCAGCACTTGAATTTAATTGACAAGTTGATTGACTATTCGGGGAGATACTCTGACTGAGTACGCTAGCAAACCCTCATTGATACCTCAGTCTCGAATCGTTCTATTTTATTACATTTCATTCTTAAGCCTAACAATAATATAATGTAGAATGGACCATTTATTCTAAATATTCCTAAATATATTTATACTACTAATTCAAATTTTACTGATAATTAAAGGAATGTTGCTATTTTATAGGAAATGTAAAGAAAATGTAGCTATTTTAAAACCTCTTATAATGATTTCTTGTGTTGGTATAGATAAGTAGCAAAATGTGGGAGGGGGCATCATACTATAATACAAAAGAAAATAAAATTTGTATGCAAATATTCATTTTCTAATTGTTGCTGCAAAATTACTTCACCTACCTCATTAAATCTCACTATCTATATTTGTAAAATCAGAATAATACCTCACTTTCTGAGTTACTGATGAGGAATATTAAGATAATATATGTCAAAGATTCTTTTGATTATCACTATCATACTCTCACAAGCAAGTAAAACATTCAAGAAAGCCTGGATTTTAATATCACAATAATTGCGAAACTTCAGTGACTTACAACAACATAACTTGGGACCAGCAGATGGAGCAATAGTGACGTTGCTGGACTCCATGTAGTAGACACAATTTGAGTCCCAGACTCAGAGGCTTAAAACTCAATCCAGGTATGTGTGCGTGTGTGCCCAAAATCCTGATGGGAGAATGGAGGAGAAGGGATTGAAGCATAGCCATCCCCCCAGGGATGATTTCTTGCTTTCTGTCTCCGTCTGTCTCCCCACAAGTGCATACACCCTGTAACAACAACAAGAACAACAAATTCTATCTAAGGAAAAAAACAAACATATTTTTGGGAACCAGCAGATGACGGAGTGGTCATGTAGCTGGGCTCCTACATGGCTAACCATAGTTTGAATCTGTACTTAGTGGCTTGAAAATCATGCTAGGCACATGTGGATGCGTGCCCATGATCCCAGGAGGAGAACAAAAAAATGATTGCAGCATGGACATTCCCCTGGATGATGTTTTCTCACTTTCCCTTTGTTTATCTCTGTCTTTCTCTCTGACAAGCACATATGCCCTAAGGCATAAACCTCTAAAAAAAAAAATTAAATCACATTCTTTATCAGAGGGGTCTGTTGATTACAGTTATATAAAGTGTCAAACTGTTGGAACGTTTGATATGGACAGAAAACAGAGCCATACATTGACAATTAAGTGAAGTACCACAATTTACATATGCTAAATTCCACTCTCAGCATTTATCAGCTAGTACTAGCAAAGCTTCTCAACCCACATAAGCCCGAAAATCCAGATTTATTATGTGAGCAGGTGACAGGAAATGAAAAATGATTGCCAAAATTAATAATGGTTTTCACAGAAAATAGACATTAAAAAATATGAGAAAATGAACAATTAAACTCCATTTCACATTAATGAGATCAACAAAATTTAAAAATGTGACTTACATTTCCGAATGTTAGCAATGATGTGGGGCAAGAGCATTTTTTGTCTAGACAGATGTCTTACTGTGTTTAATCCTGCTGCCTCATTTTCTCATTCTCCTATGCAGCCTGGAATGCAGGCACCCGCCACCAGAAGGGCATGTATTTTATTATTGTCAGTAGGTGTGTGTTCTCATGAGAAAGAGAAAGGGCGAGAGAGAACACCCCCACCAGTAGGGCGTCATGTGATAATCCACTTCTCTCCATCACTCCATTTTTCCTGCTCCCCCATCATGTTGGGCATTATTCACATGCACTCAGAGTAGTTTTCAAGTTGTTTAGGTAGGAGAAAAGGATTCCAACAGTGGTCCTGTGGGATACAGGTTCTTTTCCTTTTCTTTTTTTAGGGAGATTTTTGCTATAGGACGCCTGTGCTTCCTGGAGAGATGGAAAGAGACAGAGAAACAGAAAGGCCACCCTCCAGGGAGGATGGCCACACCACCATCCCTTCTCTTTCATTCTCTTCTGAGCATTTTGGGCATGCACACACACACAGGGCTGGGGTGAGTTTCAAGCCTCCAGGTCCAGGACGCGAACTATACTCTGCCATGTAGGAGTCCAGTGACGTAATTATTACACCATCTGCTGGTCCTGAAATCGAGCTTTCTGAGCACTTAACCACTGTGTTATAGGCCTCACAAGGGCATTTTTGTATGACAGTGGTGAGTTATAAATTAATGAATGCCATGTAAAGGAAATTTTGGAAAAATCCCGAGAAGGGTGGATATGTACAAGTCCTCAGTCCTAATTACTTAACTAATTTTCCAAGAAACAAGAAAGCACATAGTAGATACTGAAACTTGTTTGTAAGATTGAAATATTAGAAAAAATGTACATGTCTACAAGTTCATCAAACAGAAAATAAACACGGAGACATTATGCCACATATACAAACACACCCACAGATTTATAAACATGAGTTAATTGAAATTTTAGATGACCTCATAAATGAATCAAAAAAAATACAAATATTGAATTTTTTTTTTTTGGAGAGATTTTCACTGTAGGGCGCGTGCGCTCGCCAGACAGACAGAGAGAGACATAGAGACAGAAAGCGAGAAATCACCCCCAGGGGGGATGGTCACGCCGCAATCCCTTCTCCTCCATTCTCCTCTCGGGATCTTGGGCACCCACGCACATGCGCCCGGCGTGAGTTTTAAGCTACCGGATCCGGGACACGAACCGCGGTCGACTATGTGGGAGTCCAGCGACATAGCCATTACGCTAACTGCTGGTTCCCCAAATATTGAATTTTGAAAAAGAGTTTACACATTTACATGTATAGTCATTTATCATGTATAAAAAAAGGGAAGGCAAAACGTAATTATTGATTTTACTACAGATATTTAACATAGAATGATCATATAACATTCAGAGTTTAATTATATATTTATTTTCATATCTGATTATTTATTGAATTTATTTTAGAAGCATTTAGATTTATTACATTTATTTTTAGTTATTTACATTATTTTAACAAAATAATGAGAGAAAGGTAGATAATTCTAGTATTAAAATTACAATTAAAATAAACATTTGGGTACATAACATTACCTTTCTCTGCATATTCTTCAGATTTAAACTAGTGAATGCTACACACTTACATACAAAAAGGTTAAGCAAAAATTTAAAAATTCTTTAAAGTAGAATCTGTTCTCCCCAAAGGTTGAAGCCCTATTTAAAGAAAGTGAATAACTCTTTTTTTTTTTCTTCTTCTTTTGGAGAGGTTTTTGCTATAGGGCGCGTGCGCTCACCAGACAAACAGACAGAAACAGAGACAGAAAGCGAGAAATCACCCCCCAGGGGGGATGGCCACGCCGCAATCCCTTCTCCTCCATTCTCCTCTTGGGATCTTGTGCACACGCGCACACACGCCCCGCGTGAGTTTTAAGCCACCGGGTCTGGGACGCGAACCGTGGTCAACTACGTGGGAGTCCAGCGACATAGCCATTATGCTAACTGCAGGTCCCCACCTGCTAATTTTTTAATATTTGTTAAGTGTTTGTTTGTTTCTTTGTTTTTATTTCTGAGAGCCATGTGGTTTACCCATGCAGAAAATAGTTTTAACATCTGCAAAATTTCTTACGTACTTTCACAAATCAGTATCAATAAATATTTTTTTCCAAGTTAAACTATACTTCCTTTGTCTATTGAAAGTTACCTTCTAATAAATAATTAGATGAATCAAATTAAAGTTAAGGACCTGCAATAAAGCACTGATATGCTTATCTGAATTTATCGCTTAATAATGGTATAATAATCACCTCTACATTATGTAATACACAGGGGGTTAAATACTAAACATAATGTACTCAATTAAGGATTTTTGTAATATGCCTTCAGCTCTTTGAGAATTAAATTCTATTCTTAACATGCTTAGTTTTGTACAATCTATATTTACACACATTTTTACAGTTATAGTCAAAAGGTGGGATTCTTATAACTTGTTAATCAGTTAGTACCATGAATTATAATAGACAACATAGAAGTAAATTAACATATTGATAAAGAAAACAGTTAAATAATCTACGTGTGACCTAAAATTGTGTTGAATATTTTCAATAACATGCTAACCAAGTAGAATCTGCAAGTTTAGAAGAAACCAAAAAAAAAAAAAATAAGCAGACTGGAAAGAAAATGAAAAACATTCAAATTATAGAAATTTGATAATTTTATAAAAAAGTCTAGTTTTTGTATCTTTTTTTAATTAAGAAATTCTAAGTGACTTTTATCTAGTCTCTAGCCAGTCAGGTCCCACTACAAGTTTATTTTAATAAGTCACCCAGTTGTACCACTAATTCTGAAAATGGTTTTTAAACAATCTATGCAAAAAATTTCCACCGTTATCATCTTGCTAGTAAATTCTGGAGAATATCTACAAATCCATTCTAGTCAAAATTGTCTCAAGCACCTCCCAAGAGAAAGAGAATTAGTTACAGACCCACTTTTAACTTGTTCTCTCTCAAATGTCAGTTACCAAAGTTCCCATATAGATTACACGTGATACCCGAAAACCAATACTGTATCCTAGAATCCTCAGTTTTCAAGTCATCAAAAATTATAAGCAAATCCAAAAATGTGATGAAGAAAATAAGTTAATGAACGATTATGTCAGAATACGAATATCCAGAAAAGGGACTCCATAACATATCTCTTTTTTTAGATTGGAGGATATACAGATCATAATGAGAATGCATGAATAGGTTTCTCACAGAAGCACATTTTAGCACCACTGCAGGTCTATGAGAAACAAGTACACTGCCTTAGAAAGGGCAAAGGAAAGAAAGCTTCCTGCCCTTCTTTCCAATCTCACGCCTTACTCCTACTGGGCTGCCAGCAGTACTCATGAACACTGTTAGATTTCTTGTTACTGATTGAGTCACATTGTTTTCTAGGTGAGAATCATCAGTATCAGGGACCAGCAGTTGACGTAATGGCTATATAGCTGGACTCTGATGTAGTCTACTGCAGTTCAAATCCTGGACCAGGTGGCTTAAACTCAGGCCGGGCCCATGTGCGCGCATGCCCAGGATGCCAAGAGAATGGTGGAGAAGGGATTATGACAAAGCCATACCCCCTGGGGGGTGATTTCTGGTTTTCTGTTTCTCTGTCTCTCTCTGTCTTCATGGTGAGCACATGCACCCTATAGCAAAACCCTCTCCAATAAAAAAAAGAATCATCAGGGTCAAAAAATAAGGGTGGGCAGACTTCATGTACTGTTGGTTAAGGCAACTGGGTTTCACGTAGTTGACTGCATGGTTTGAGTATCAGGCCAGCAAACTGAAAAACATAGTGAGCACATGTGTGAGCCTGCCCAAAATCCTGAAGGGAGGGAGAAATGGAGGAGAGCTATTGCATGGTGACCATTCCCCGTGGGGGTGCTTTCTCATTTCTTCCCTCTCTCTCCCTTTCTTTCTTTTTTTTTTTTGAATTTATTAGTTCTAATAAATTTTTAAATTCTTTTATTCATACATAAAATCGCTGTACATCATTTAGATTGCGAAGACACTTGACCCAACATGATACACAGCTCAGTCCAGTCTCACTTTCTTTCTCTGTGTGTATCCCTCTCTGATGAGTACATCCACCCTCTAGACAAAAAATTAAAAGAATATTTTTTTATTCTGCTTTCATTTAGCACATGTCTAAAATTGCTAAATGGGACCAAGACATTTTGTCACACGGGAGAAAGCAGGACCATTATCATGTTCTCTTTTTTACCAACATAATTATGCATGCCTGTTTTTATTTTCTGTGTTCCTAAAAAGTACTAGTGTTTGAGTACAAATTACTAGGGAGAAAATACAAAGACACACACACCTACCTCCAAGTTTTCTATCACACACACACACACACACACACACACACACACACACACAATGCAACTACACTTCCAGTACTGGCTATATGTTTCAAACTCATCCATTGTGCAATTTTGCTTTTTTTTAATGAAATAAAGGCCTAGTTAAGATAAAATGATTCAGCTTTCCTTTGGCATTTTCTCCAGGGAGTATGTCTATTTTTGTGACCTCTTGGAAAGAGTTGACTCTGATCTAGGGTAGGGTCAAAACTGTAACTCTGAGTCTTCTCATTTTGAGGTAGTGAAGTTTTCCTTCCAGAAATTACTACTCCCCACATGTATTCAGAATGAAGAAGAAGCAGAAACTTTATTTTTTATAGAAGGAAGGAGCTACTGCAATCCTCAGCTATGGTAAAAGAAAACTGGAAAGCAAAACAAGAACGGAAATGTGATTTATCAGGTAAACCAGGACAATGAAGCTTATTATCCCAATATATCTGTGAAAGAGTTAGGAATTAGAGGTATGTGCAGAAAATATTGATTAAAGCAACCAGTTTTTTTTTTATTCTTTTAAAAAATATATTTTATTTTATTCTAGTTTCTTTTATACATTCAATCACATGCATCACTTAGCTTGTAAAGTGAGTGTTCCAAAATGAATACATTTCACACCAGTCCAGTTGGGAATATGACACACATTATCATCAACAGACAATAACCCATTTCTGTGTCCCATAAATGTCTGGCCTCTCTATTTTTCACCCTAATGTCTTTCCTTCTCCCACTCTCTTTTCACACTGAATCCAGTACCTATAACCATTGTCTATGTTTCTGTACCCTCCAGTCTTTTTGTTTCAGCCATTGAGTGTGGACAGTTGGTATATATTAAGTGGAGACATACAATGTCTCTCCATGAAGGAGAGCCTGGCTTACTTCACTCAGAGATAAATCTTCCATGTTCAGCCACTTTCTATCAAAAGCCAGGGTCTTGTTTTTTGTTTGTTTGTTTGTTTTCTGTTTGTTTGTTTGTTTGTTTATGGCTGAGTAGTATTTCATATAGTATATATGCCACACTTTTTCAATTCATTCTTCTGTTCAGCAAGACATATACTAAAATTGAAACAATACAGAGAAGATTGATGTGGCCCCTGCATAAAGATGGCATGCAAATTCATGGAGCAACCAGTTTTTAATGATAGATTTAAAATGAGGACCAAGTGAAAACCAATGTAAGGACCCTAACTGATTACTAGATCCCAAAATTAAACCATTCCCACCGAAATGGGAAGGCATATTTTATGAAGAAATTGAGCCAGAGACTGAAGACATAGACACTCAAAGCACAATAAAGGGCCTAGTGAGGGTGCCAGGTGGTAGCACAGCAGTTACATAACTGGATGTGCACCCCAGGATCTCCCTAAACATGCTGGGCACCTCATGTATGTCCTATGATTTGGCCTGGTTTAGAATAGGGTGGATCGCAGTGCATAGGCTTTGTTTGAGGTGTCTCTCCATCTCTCTGGTTGAAGAATATATAAATAAATTTCATATTAAACTGAATATTATAAATAATAGAAGATAGGACTTTTGTATTAATAGGGCCATTTGAAAGGGCCCAATTGTACAAAAAGTTTAAAGGGCTCAAAAGGACCATGCTTGCAATTCTGAAGTTACTACTCAGTCATGGTAGTGGGAGTTGGTGGATGCTGCTCTCAGTGGGCTGAGGCCTCACAGGAGGACCAGGTTCTAATTCTTGGCCCATCCTAAAAGCTGGGCATAGTAGTGTGCCTTTGTAGTACTACCTCCTGGGAAGACAGAGGCAGGCGGATTGCAACACAAGGAGACGCTACCTAAGAAAAAAAATGACACAATATATCAACAGCATTAGAGCATAAATGTACATTAGAGCAATAGCGGTCTGAAGGTATAATGCCTTCTTTTATTTTCTGCCTTTTTCTTTCTTTCTTCTTTTATTTTTTTAAATAGTTTTTGCTATAAGGTATGTGCACTCACCTCTCAGTGGTGATTCAAATATTCTCAGAGAGGCAGAGAGAGAGAAAGTGAAAAATAATCTCCCAAAGGGAGTGGCCACACTGCAATCCCTTCTCCATTCTCTCCTCTCTGGATTTTGGGCGTGCACTCAAAGGTGCGAAGTGTGCTTTTCAAGCTAATGAGTCTGGGACACGAACCATAAAGTAGACCATGTAGGATCCATTGCCTTAACCACCACATCACAGACTAACCCTAGGATCCTGCTTTCCTTGTCTAATTCCATACCACCAGCATATGCACAGAACACCTCAAAACAAATGCTGAATCTCAGTCCAGGTGCATTACTAGACCAATCTTGGAGGTGATCTCCTGAACCTCGGTGCTGATGTGCACATTCTCTTAGCATATAACCAGCTCCAAAGGCATATCCTTTTTCCAATCTCAACAAGACCAGCTGCAAATCACTAATACTACTATGTCCAATAAACACTGTTGAGAAGTGGGTATAAACTGTCCAGAAACCTGTCTCAGCTACATGATTTAAAAGCAACACTCTTAATCAATGTGTTTTATGCCTTGGCCAGCCATCAGCATCACCCATGTACATTTGTTACAACAGTAACACCACTCAGGCTTGTTCTCATCTGATGCATTTAATGTTCACTGCACAACTCTCAATTCTTTCTACCTTCCATCACAACTCCAGAGTTCTGGCAACCAGTTAATACATCCCTAACCAGAAGTTTGAGAATAGTTAGTTCTCTTCAATGACTGATCTGCCCGCATATGCTGATGATTTGAATCCTCAAATAGTAAAAACTCACTAACCACCTGGCCATAACACAGTAGAGACTACAATGTATGCTGATGTTCTATTCCATACGTTAACACCTCACTTTGAAATATGTATGTTAGCAATATAATTAACAAACACCTCCAGAGTGAAAGATGAAAAAGAACTCAGAATCGTATCCCAGTGGTAGGGACATGTATTAATTTTGTGATACAGAATGAGAAGAATGGAAGAAAAAGCAAAGAACATTAAAATATTGGATATGAAACATTTGATACATAATATTAATATAGACAAAGAATATAGGTTAATTAATTAATATAGCACAAAAGGGCTAGGAGAGGTGAAGTAGTAAAACACAACCTTCTGGAAGATAGACTCACATGGCAAAGTTGACTGCTTAATTAAGCCCAGAGACCTCCCTTAGTACTTCAAGCACACCTGTGCCCATGATCCTCCTGACAGAAGCTGGGGTAAAATGTTGTAATGTGGTGTTAGGTCCCCCGTGGGCGTGCTGCATCTCTGTCTCTCTACTTCTGTATCTCTCACAAATGGAATAAATAATAGGTAAAAAGAAATAGACAATTACAGGAAATTTCCATGCAGTTCAACATCCATCTAAGATTATTTCTTTGGCTGAGAAAGGAGATTGGCAAGAAGGAGGAAAGTAACAAAGACATTCTCTGAGAGGTGATAGAAAAAAGAGCTTATAGTGAAATGACAGATATTTGGATAGGAAGGCCACACCTCTTACCCAGCATTTTCAATGAATCCAATTTATATAAACATATTTTGTAACATTTCAGAAAATCATGAAAAAAATATATGAAAACTCCTTATGAGAAGGAATAAATAGGGCCAGTCTATGGCATGGTGATTAAGGCGATTTAATCATATATGGCCTACAAGGCTGGTAAGTCCTGGTCCTGGTGGCTTGAGAAACACATCAGGTGCAAATGCATTAGTACCTGAAATTCAAAAAGGAGAGAGAAATGGAGACAGGATTGTATCATTCTCCATGGAGGGTTGGTTTCTAACTTTCCCTCTTTTTCTTGCTCTGTTTCCACTGGTGAGTGCATGCACCTTTTGGAAAAATTTTTATAAAAAGAAGAGGAAGATGATGACAAAGAAGCAGCAGCAGCAATAAACCAAAATTAGGTCACATAGGAGCAGCATTTAAAATATAAAATATATCATTCCTGAACATTACCACTCGAAGTTAGAATTAAATGGTGCAATCCTTTAATGTAATGAAATGAAATTTAATGTAAAGTTTTATATCTAGACACATGATCTGTTAAGTAGTAGGTATAAAAAAAATTCTCAGAAGAGTCTCAACAACGTTATCCAGTTTTTATCATTTCTCAGCCTATTATAAGAGAGTAAAGAAAGAAAGAAACTTGAATTTGAAGTACTGGGCACAATACAAGAGGTATATACATGGTCATGGGTTGGAGGATATTGCCGTGATTCATGTAATGACAATAAAAGGGAATCCAGATCTGCGGTGAGGGAGAAAGAACAGCTGCAGGAGGGATATCTCTAATGAAGAAATTCAACTATTCAGTAATTTAAAAGAATTAAATATGTAGAAAATTGAAAAAATATATTACAAAACTTTTAGAAGACTGGAAAGAATTTGCCACAAATCGAAAGACAGTTATGCAAATAAAAAATACAATCAGTCATTTGCGTGAAACAGGTACTTGCACAAATAAGGAAATAAAATTAAAGCACTCTGCTTGTCTCAATAGAGAACACCATTTTTATAATCAGAATAAGGGATTTAAACAAAAAAAGTGTGGGATTACTATGTTGAAGGGAAAGGTATAAAAGAGCTACAGTCTTTATCTAACATAGCATCTGTTTAATAATGCCTATTATTTATCATTTGAAATACAGCAGTTTATATTTTTATTCATTTTACTTATATGGATGGAAGCCTTATTATTTTCTTTGTGTGATAAGGGCTTTTTGAAAAAGATTGAGATCTATTTAATAAAAATTGTATATCTTCAAAGTGCACAACTTGGTGATTTGATATTCATATACATTGTGATGTATCACCATAGTGAAGCTAATTAATATATACTTCACCTCAAATAGTTACAACTTACTTTTCTTTCCTTGATCTTTCCTTTTTAAAAGGTAAGGACTCTTAAAAATATATCCTCGTACCAAATGTGAAGTATATAATAAAGCATTGCTAACTAGTCATATTGTTATATATTAACTCAATGGAGTTTGTTCATCCCCAATAATTGAAACTTTGTACCTTTTTCTTCCTATCTGTCCCCTAGTCCAGTCCCTGGTAAATGCCATCCTATTCCCTGCTTCCAATAGCTAGATTATTTTGAATTTGACATGCAAGTGAGACCCTGTAATATTTACCACTTTGAACCTTGTTTATTTCACTTAACATGAGGTTCATGTGAGTACGGGTGTGCACACACGAACACACAAACTTGCATCACATTTTCTTTATCTGTCAATAGACATCTAATTTGTTTTTATATCTTGGCTATTGTGAATAATGCCAAATGAATATGGGAGCACAGATATCTCTCTTTGAGACTGTAATTTATTTTTTTATTCCCTTTGAGAGATTTTTTTGCTTGTGTGCTCACTAGAGATAGACAGAGACAGAGTGACAGAAAGTGAGAAATCACCTCTCAGAGGAAATGTCTACATCACAATTGCTTCTCCTCTATTCTCGGGATTTTTTTTAGGCATGAATGCGCACTTACCCTGTGTGAATTTCAAGCCACCAGGTCCAGTACTCAAGCTGTGGTTGATCATGTGGGAGTCCAGCACCATAACCACTATGCCACCCAATGGCCCTGAGATCATAATTTCATTTACTTTGAATATATACTCAGAATTGGAATTGCTGGATCATAAGTCTGTTTTTAAATACATAGGTTAGAGAGATAATTTCTAGAAGAAACAAAGACAGTGGGAATTATTTATTTGGGGAATGGAGCCTGAAAAGAGAGTATTGTTTTTATTATTATATTCATAAGACTTTTATATTTTTTATTTAAAAATGGATGACTAGGACTATTGCAAATTAAAGAAAATATACATTTATGGAAGAATGCTCTACTTGGAATTAATTCAATGAAGACTAGACACTGAGTATTATAAGCAATTTCACATAATAACTTTTCTTTATTTTAAAATTTTGCATGTGAGCTTACCAGAGACAGAGAGAGAAAGAGAGAGAATATGAGAACTCAACCACCAGAGGGATGGCCACACTGTAATTCCATCCCCTCCATTCTCCTCCAGTGCTTTTGAGCATACATACATGTCCAATGTGTGGATGGGATCCCAACCATGCTATTAGCCATGTGGAACCCAGCCACCTGAACTACTAGGATGCCAGCTGGCCCCACCTGATAAA